AAAATGTTGGATTGTATACCTGGATTATTGAGCATGGACTTTGTTGTCATTTCAAGAAGTTATCAGTAAACACCGAGCCAGTCTGGCCCTCAACATTTTACATTTTTGTCAATTTTGGCCCACTGTGTTTTTGTTTCACATCCCTCACGCATGCATGAACACGGTAACATTTTACAATAAGGTACACAAAATTTGCTTACCTACTAGGGAATGCCTCAGGAACGAATCAGGAGCTAATGGATAGTTAACCAGTACTTACTGCGGAACACACAGCTAAGACTTACCGTATTAGGGGACTACTGGTTAGTTACTTTGTAAATGAAGAGGAACTAATCAAGAACTAATGGGTAGTTACCAAGGAAACCAAAGAGGAACGAATTAGGAGCTAATGGGTAGTTAACCAATAGGTTTACAAAAGAGAAAATGTAATAAAATCAATAATCACCAGGAAACAGGTTTTTACTTTGACAAAACGAGCTGTGACCTCACTGGTGCAGGGTTTATTCAGAACCCACAAGGAGAATTTCTCCTCTGTTTCTGTGGTAACAAACCAGTAGTCCCCTAATAAATCTTGGCTGTGTTCCCCAGTAAGTACTGGTTAACTACCCTTTAGCTCCGGATTCGTTCCTCTTTGGTTTCCTTAGTAACTATCCATTAGTTCTTGATTAGTTCCTCTTCATTTACAAGGTAACTAACCAGTAGTCCCCTAATAAGGCTTGGCTCTGTGTTCCCCAGTAAGTACTGGTTAACTACCCATTAGCTCTTGATTCGTTCCTGAGGCGTTCCCTAGTGGTTAAGCAAATTTTGTGTACCTTATTGTAAAGTGTTACCATGAACACTTAGACATGTTTTGTGTGTGTTTCAGTCACATGCTGGCATCTATGGTGGTGTGTTCATCAGTCTTATTCATTCTGGTCGTGGCCATCTTCTCTAGAAGGTTCTGGATATCACACAGTAAGTCATGTTGTTAATTAGAAAGCTCTATCTGTATTTTCAATCTGTAAAAACATTGTTTTAAACAAAGTAAAAAAAAAAAACCTTTGAAAACTAAAATATTATTTGTTGCATCAAAATCTCCACTATCCATTTCCAGACCAAAGCTCTTCTCCGTCTGAAGTTGACAAGTTGAACGCTAAATTCATTGTAAGTTCTTATATCGGTTATTTTTTATTGATGCTGATTAAATAATCATTAGTAATGATGTTAATTATTTTTTGTCTCCTAAAGGGCCTTTCAAAGGAACGTGACATCCAAAATGCTGCGGTTGTTTTCATGAACAATAATTCTCAAGATGCGTACTGAGATCCATCAGAGCGATGTTTACTCAGTAATTTAATGTTATTGTTGTCCTAATCTACTGCAGCTATCATGCACAAGAGGTTTTTTTATATCACTTACCATACAGCATATGTGTCAAACTCAAGGCCTGGGTGTCAATATGGCCCTCCTTAACATCTTGTCTGCCCCCCAAGATGTTATTTTAAATATAAAATACTTTTATCACTTTATTTTTTTTCAGTAATCTTTGATTATGATGTCAAAAATGCAACAGAAAATGTCAAATGAGGCCAATCAAGCTCCTGTTGAGGAACCTGCAACTAAGAAAAGATGTTGGGTATCTGACTTGAGTTAATGTAAATTCTGAAACTGGCCCTTAATTTGAAAAAGGTTTTAATTTTGGCCCCCTTTTGTAAATGGGTTTGACACCCCTGCTATACAGTCTTTAAAACAACAATCTGTGTAATTCACAGAGTACAAATAAAAGTACAGTAGTCCCTCGTTTATCACGGGGGTTACGGGGGCCAAGTAGGGATACAGTAGTCCGAGTTCAATTTCAGTAAACTTTATCAGGACATGTGCCAGGCAGTAATCACACTCATCACCTGTTACTCCCAATCTCCCTCCTTAAATAAACATTTTAAATTTAAATACTGTAATATTTTAAATAAACAATCCATACAGAATGGATACGAAACGTTACAGTATTTAAATTTAAATTATAGATAAGAGAAGTTCAGCAGGACATGAAAGGATGACACAACTTCAGCTCTGCAGCACGGAGCAGAAATGTACTTCTTGATCAATTACCTTGAAACAACTGAACACAGAAGTTCTAAAATTATTAAAAAAAACTTTTAACACTTTTATATTTTGTGACTATGACGATTTTACGATGTGGCATATTTTGAATTTTAAGTTTTGAAGACAAAAAATGATCTGTGCATCTGGACAGCAAAGGGTTAACCCTTCACAAAGCTGCAGCAGAAATATGTGTGGTGCAGAGAAGGAGATCAGCTGATCAGCTGCAGGAGGGAGCTTTCTCTGTACTTGTGGGCTGCACACGTGGTGCAAAATAATTAAAAATAATTTATTTTAAGTAAACAATCCATGGCTCATCCATCAATCAGCCAATTGTGTCATGTCCAGTCTTTGAAAAATGGAGATATAGCGAATCCGTGAAAAGCAAACCAGCAAAGTAGCGAGGGACTACTGTAGTTTAGATGATTGTTGTTGTTCATATGCTCTTTGCCACGTTGTGATCCCTTTATTTTATGCACATTGTGTTTTTATTCACTTTAGCCTAAAAGAAGTAGCCTTCACTCTTTCTTTTTTGATTGTATTGCCGACATAAAACAGTGGCTTCAACAAAATGTTCAGTTTTTAAATGAAGGACAAACGGAGTGTATCATTTTTGGTGATGATGCTCCGTGTCACTTTGATGCTTTGGCATCCACGTTCAGACCAACAGTTAAATACATTTTGGGGACCTTTGACAACGATTTGAAGTTCAATAAATTATACAGCCTCAGTAGTCAAGGCCAGTTTTTATCAGATATGTCTTTTAACCAAAGTTAAGCTTTTTTGAAATACTGATCTGGAAACAGCCATTCGTGTTTTTATCAGCTCAAGGCTTGACTAGTGTAATGCTTTGTATGTAGGAATCTCCCAGTCCTCCATCAGACGTCTTCAACTGGTCCAAAATGCTGTGTCCCATCTTTTAACCAACACCCCCTGATGAAAGCACATCACAGTTGTTTGGTTTTCTCTTCACTGGCTTCCAGTCCATTTTAGAGTTGATTTGAAAGATTATTCACTTTTAAAGCTGTTAATGGCCTCACCCCACCTTATTTAGCAAATCTAGTAGCTTTTCTTGAGTATAAGAGAACCTTAAGATCAACTATTATTTTTTCCTTTTTACTTTACTGTTTGTTGCAACATCCAAATGCAAACGTTGGGGAGACCAGGCCTTTTCGGTCGCAGCACCCAGACTCTGG